GAGAGAGAGAGAGAGAGAGAGAGAACACAACAGATACACCCACACAGGTGATTTTAATTATTTTGCCTGATTAAAGCTCTTCCCAGGACTGTGTGGACATATATACTAGTATATTTAATTAATTCCTGTTAGCTTTGTTGCACCTGTTATGGTCGGAGAAATTACACCTTTATCAAGTAGATCCCATCAAATCTCCAGATCTCCTTCAACCTGAACAGAGGCCGAGGTCTAATCAAACAGAATAAGTAAAAACACCAGTTTCAGTGTGCAAGGCCTTTTAAAATCAGTCGAATGAGTTGGCATCGTGGTGACCAAGGCATACTGGGTAACCACAACATGGTTGGTTTTGTCTCATGTTATCGGCTTTCTCTCTCTGCCAATGTATCCAATCATGCATAAAACATAAAAAACAACAAATTCCAGTCACACGATTTCACGATTTTCCTGCATTCAGTGTTCAATGAATCTTCCTATCTTCAAGCATGCAGATGCTGCTGCTCTGCTTCCTCTCTGCATGTCTTCCACAGTCCTAACCCCACACTCAGTTTTACAGTGTGTGTTCCTTAACAGTGTGTGGTCTGTCCCTTCAGTTGTCTGAACCCAGCACAGTGGGAAATTCATTCAGGTTCATTGTGGACTCACTGCTGAACCCAAACTGACCTGACACATGCACACATGCACACACACAGTGGCCTCATTGCATCGCCCTGCTGCAGCAGTATTCCAGCAGAATGCCTGAAAAGTCTGCGGCCCCCAGAGACACAGCAGGGTCTGTCTGGCAGCATGGCATTGAGGTCTGGGTGCAGCAGATAATGCCAGCATGGCAGAGAGAAAAGGAGGATGGCAGTATCTTTGACTGGTTTCTCTTGATCTAGCCGTACACAGTCAGTCTGAGCATAATTCTTACCAGAGTTATTTTTACTAGCTATTGAAAATATTCAGAAAAGTCTTAAAACTTTGCCAAGATGCTTGTTAGTGACTGTAGTGTGAATTAAATCAGTAAGTCTCACTGGGCCTTTGTATAGCCTTCTGGGTTGGTAGTGTAGGTACAATTGGACAATAGGGCAAACAGGCTACCAAAGGAGTATTTGATTGCATGCAGCGTGTACCTGTTTTCTTTCTTTGTGGATGTACAAGTATTAGATTACGTAAACGATATGTAGGTCAAATATCTGAACTGATTTTCAAACATTCTTTGCACAGGTGTGTTTGTATAATCACAAGATGTGAAGTTAACTGATGATTCCTCTAACTCCTTGATCAAACATTTAATGAATTCTGGTGCACTTGAACAAACACTAACAAACACACAGAACAGTGCCAAGAAGTGGAATATAAAATACAGTGAAATACAGTACATTAAATATGCAAAATCAGATGAATATGCTGACCACAGAAGGTGCTTCAAGGGTAAACAGCAGCAGGGAATTAAGATCATACTGTGGCCTTATGTTAAATGTTGTTTGTTTTGTTTTATTTAGTGATCACATACAATAAATCACATACAATGATAAACATGACAAAATTTTACATTGGGTTCCATTCATTTCATTACAAGATGCAGATTTATTTATTATTTTATTTATTTTTACAATTGTGTGATAATGAAGGTAAAAAGCATCCATTAAAGGGGAACTCAAAGTCTGTTTACAAGTTTTAGAAAGTGCTACTGAATATGTGACAAAAGTTGTATACAGCTTTTTGTGGCTCCAGAGGAAGCTGTGTGAAAACAAAATTGCCTCAAATGATGTCACATGAGTCAGTGTCTGTCTCCAATCAAACTTTTGACAAGTAAGAAGAATGTGTGGGGGGCGCCTGGTTAGCTCAGTCAGTAGAGCTGGCGACCCATATACAAAGTTGCCGCAGCGGCCCGGGTTCGAATTCAACCTGCGGCCCTTTGCTGCGTGTCATTCCCTCTCACTCTACTCACCTTTCCTGTCTATCTACAGCT